ATTTTCGATTACATAAAATGTGGCAATCATTTCTGGTCTTTCTTGAACTCTAATCGGGGCTTCAAAGACGTTAACCACTCTCAACGCCTCGTCCGACGCATAAGCTTTGAACTGGGTAGCCGAAGTGGTGCGAATATTAAACACCGTCGCCTGTTTACGATTCAATCGCAGCCAATCGCCGTGGCTTATCAGGTTGTACCGCGATCCTGAGTCAATGATCATCTGCAGCTGGGATCCCCCAACTAGGCATGACACGGTTTCTTCTCCTCCTGGCTCGCTAATCACTTTAAAACAGTTTGACCAACCCTGGCCGCCCTGACTTTTAGCCTCTTCCTCATCGATGGCGTGCACGTGGGACTCCGAGGTTCGCGGTCGCTTGCGTTGATACTCATATGGTGTGCTACGCTGCCTCTTTAATGTGGTTTTGCACATACGAGCATAATGTCCGAACCGGGAACACTTATTACATTTCGATTTCCTTGCCGGGCATGCCATATTCCGTTCATCATGGTCTTCTGCTCCACACCGGCCACACACGACACCTACTTTGTCTTGTCTCCTTGACTGAACCGCGATTTTCTTTACAATCTCGGCATCCGGCGGGATCAGCATTGCCTCTGACTGCTGGTTCACTTGTTCTTCAATGGTGCACATATTTATTATCTCCTCCAGCTTCAGCTCCGATTCCAGTAGCTTCTTTTTAAACGTGGCCTTAGCCCAGGCATTAATTATTTTATCCGCAATGCAGATCTCCTGGATTTCAATCTTGGTTGTTCCGAACGAGCACTTGCTGGCTTGTTGTCTTAGACGCAACAAGAACTCGGCAAAGCACTCACCTTGGCGAGGCGTCATGCTGTCTCTCGAAAACTGCGTTACGTTGCGGTGAAAAGTATTCATTCAGTTTGTCCACCAGTGGAGTAAATACGTCATTTTCGATGTTCGCATCGTATGGCACCAACGCGCCTGGCAGACTGTACACTACCTCTTGTAGCTGTGGTCCCCCTAGATGGAGTAATTTGTTTCGCTTTTTGACTACTGACGAAATTTCTTCTGTGTCTACGTAGATATTAAATGACCGTAGCCACTTCTCCCACTCATTGCGCCACAACGATTTTTCTATGCTCGCGCACAGAAATGGTTTAATTTCTGTCATTCTACCGATCTGTTTTAGCTTGCACTTTTTTTTTTTTAATTATATGTATATATATGCCCAGCTTCTGACTTTTCAGATAATTTATTTGGCTTGCACTTTTTGTGCCCAGCCTCTGATTTGCTTTTCAAATAGTTTTTTTTTTTGCGTTCTTTCTTTCATCAGCTTGCACGGGCGTTTGTCTTGCCTTGCTCAGCTGTTTTTTTTATACCCTGAACCCATTTTCAATGGGAAATCAGGGTATAATGGTTTTGTTGAAATGTATGTAACAGGGAGAAGGAGGCGTGGCAGACCCCACAAAGTATATATATTCTTGATCAGGGTGACGAGCTGAGTTGATTTGGCCCTGTCCGTCTGTCTGTCCGTCTGTCCGTCTGTCCGTATGTATGAACGCGTCGATTTCAGAAGATATAAGAGCTAGAGACTTCAAATTTTTTTTAAAATGTCCGTAATTACAGCGCGCATATCAAGTTTATCATTAAAAATCGATAACTCATCTCGATCTTTTTTATCGATAAAAAACCTTATCGAAACCCAGTTATAAAATTATATCTTCTACACCTTTAATGTATGCTTATATGCAATTTATACAATTTCGGTTTTTGTTAAAATTTAATCCCACCTCTAAATTCACCCCCTCACCCTCACTTTTGTAAAAAGCGTATTTCAAATACTAGAGACTTGTGCTTTGGCAATTACATGCATATTCATGTTATAATCATAATCTAAAAGTTTCATGAAGATCGTACGTCCATAAAATATTAAACAATTAAGTTCTCATAGTAAGCGCACACTGCAGCCCATGCGTGTTTATGCGTGGTTGCTTGTGTGTGTATGTGTTTGTGTATGTGTGTGTGTATGTGTGTGTGTGTATGCGTTTGTGTATGTATGCGTGTGTGTGTGTGTATGCCTGTGTTTGCGTACGTGCGTGTGTGTGTGTGTGTGTGCGTGTTTCTTGTGTAAGCTGAAAGTCGCGAAAAAGTATTGAAATATCTATTGTTCCAAGGGTTCAGGGGATCTCGTAGTCGAGCAGTCTCGACTAGAGCTTTCTTACTTGTTCTCTTTTGGCTTGTCTTAGAGTCGCCTTTGCGCTCTCTCAACTCAGCTCATGTACTCTTGTACTTTTTGCGATTGCTTTTATTTTTGTGGCTTGTCTTAGAGTCGCCTTTGCACTCTCTCAACTCAGCCTACGTATGCACGTATTGTTATTACAATGATTTTGATTATTATTATTATTTATTTCATTATTTTTTTTTGTTTATGGCGGTGCTCTGTGGAGTGCTGGATGGGTAGATTCGTGTTTAACCTCACTTTTTTTTTCAATTGGTAGGCCGCGTTTTCTTTATGTTCTCTTTCTTCTTTTTTTTTGTGTTTTCACCTCGTCGCCAATGTATAAACCCGTGTTTGCCCGGATTTAAATAAACACAGTTATCGGTTAGTTAATTTGCAAAGTAATATTTATTTATTCACGCGTCGTTTACAATGATCAGCCACGCTCGCTGGAAGGAAGAATAGAAGTAGCAAAAGGAACAAAAGTAACAACAATAATAAAGCTCGCATACGAAAGCTCATTCCGTGGCTTGTGCCGCGGAGCTTTCTGTGAGTGGATCGTCTTCCACAGAAAGCTCTCTTGGTACGGGTCTCCACATATATATATATATATATATATATATATATATTTATTTTTTTATTTATTTATTTTTTTTTTTTTGGGTGATTCATGTATTAACAAGTAAGAAAGCTCTAGTCGAGACTGCTCGACTACGAGATCCCCTGAACCCTTGGAGCAATAGATATTTCAATAATTTTTCGCGTCTTTCAGCTTACACAAGAAACACGCACACACACACACACACACACACACGCACGTACGCAACCACAGACATACATACACACACACGCATACACACACACACACGCATACACACACAAACGCATACACACACACACATACACACACAAGCACCCACGCATAAACACGCATGGGCTGCAGTGTGCGCTTACTATGAGAACTTAATTGTTTAATAACTTATGGACGTACGATCTTCATGAAACTTTCAGATTATGATTATAACATGAATATGCATGTAATTGACAAAGCACAAGTCTCTAGTATTTGAAATACGCTTTTTACATAAGTGAGGGTGAGGGGGTGAATTTAGAGGGGGAGGGGGTAAATTTTAACAAAAACCGAAATTGTATAAATTGTATATTAGCATACATTAAAAATTTGGAGACTCTAGCAATAAAGGTGTAGAAGATATAATTTTATAACTGGTTTTCGATAAGGTTTTTTTTTATCGATAAAAAAGATTGGAATGAGTTATCGATTTTTAATGATAAACTTGATATGCGCGCTGTAATTACGGACATTTAAAAAAAAATTTGAAGTCTCTAGCTCTTATATCTTCTGAAATCGACGCGTTCATACATACGGACAGACGGACAGACGGACAGGGCCAAATCAACTCAGATCGTCGCCCTGATCAAGAATATATATACTTTGTGGGGTCCGCCACGCCTCCTTCTGCCTGTTACATACATTTCAACAAAACCATTATACCCTGATTTCCCATTGAAAATGGGTTCAGGGTATAAAAAGAAAATAGTTCCTATTCGACCAACGCAGTGGTCTTCCTGGCTAGTATTTGCATGGCTTTACGGGCCATGCGCTATACCGAGCAACGCAATCGGGGCCGGTGCAGGTCTTCGCACTGGCTTTTTCATATTATTCATAGATGTCAGTTGTTGCTGCTGCTCATTGTTTTTGCTGTTGCTGTCGCTGTTGTTGTTTTGTTGTTGCTGTTGTTGCTGTTGTTGCAACGGGCATCGATCGTCTATGCTTTTGCCCTTCAGAGTTGAATTAGCATTGGCGGGGCCATCTTGTCCACCGAGAACAGCCAAAATGTATGCAGCCACATAACACTTATAGTTTTTGAATCAAAATATAAAACAGGCACTAAAGTGACACTTGTCACGGTCGCCATGTAATTAAATAAAAGTTGACCGTTTGGTTTGATCGTTGAGCAGAGAATGTTCTCCGTATTTTATTCAAATTAAATCTTAGCCTAAAATACATAAAGTTTACATAAAGAATTCTGTCACTAAAAGCAGCGGCAGAATGGAGGTAAATAGCATGTCGTATGTGTGTGTATATATGTTTGTATGTACATGCAGAAGGCATATACATATATTCAGGTGTTTAAGCTACGGCGTGGACGAGAACGTAACAATGCTTACGTTGCAGATCAGTCTATACATAAGTGACCGATCTATTACGGTATAGCTGTTATAATATAAATAAAGCAACAAAGTGTTGCTATGTTGTGAGCATGATACTCTTACTTATATTTTGGGCATATGTCAACTTCATATATTGTATACACTACAATACTGTGAGCATATGTTTATATGACATACAAAATACTACAATACCTGATTTTGATTGATTGATTTTCCATTTTCAATGGGTTTAGGGTATAACAAGAAAGAAAACTCTAGTCGAGACTGCTCGACTAGATACTACCCTGAACCAAACAAATAAAAATGCACATTTAGTACAGTTAAAAATTTCAATTTCGTCATGTTTAAAATATAAAAAAAATAAAGAACTCATTAACTTATACAGTATAAAATATCTCATGTACTAAAATATTAACCCTAAGTTAAATTCCTTTTACTGGATACTCACTAAAATACCATTGTGCAATCCGCCCACAGGGGGCGAACCGCAAAAGTTTATATCTCCTAAAGTATAATAGCTAGAAGCTTCAAATTTAGATAGTTAAGTTACCAGTAACCTCCTCTATCGATGACCCAACAATAATTTTTACGCCTTTTTAGGGGCGGACACATCGAAAAATACCCTGCAATTTTCACATTTTTTGAGCGTAAGCATTCAAATTTTGTAGTTAAGGTACCGTTAGCTCGTTTTAAAAACTGACCAAAAATAAGGTGTCAAAAAAAAAAAAAAAAAAAAAAAAAAAAATCGGGAAAAAATGTATTCTCTACAATATTAGGGCTAAACTTAGCTACTAAATTGCTGATGGGATGTGAATGAGTATTCCGCAGTCGGTAACGCTCGTCTTAACGTTCTTACTTATTTATTTATTTTTTTTTTTTATAAATTTGCAATTTATACTACATTTGCAGATTTTGCAGAACGCCTTATTGTTGTCGTCTTCATATCGGGCTATCCACGACTGGCTGCTGTAGCCAGCAATATCGAAATTTTTGCCTATAAGTCTCCTTGGGCATTTTATCACTCTATTCGCAATGAACACAATTACAAACGATATCGATAATACATACAAAGCACCTACACAATTAAATTTCATACTCATTTAGGCACGGTTCTTAAACAAATATGGGTACACAATTTAGCATATTTAATGACAAAGTTCTGTCACTAACCAGAGAACACATAGGCTAGACATCTAGAACAAATTTTTTTAATGTCGAAAAAATGCGCTGAAGAGATCAGACAACTTCGTATTTGCTCGGCTCGGTCTTTTGAGACTTAAGCAGTAAAAATAAGGCACGACAAAATCAGTGCGCTGCGACCGCTGCCACGAAATGCACCATTCCCAAATGAAGTACGGTTATGCGCTATTTTCCCTTACTCACTCTCTCCCTCTCTTTATGCTCTCTCTCTATGGTCTCTCAACCCAGTGGCGACGACCTGAATGAGGTCTGTTGAAATAATGCATTACATACGACAAAAAAAGTAATGCATTACCTATGAACATTTTTTTCAGCGCATTTGTAATGTACAAAATAAAAAGTGCTACTCATACGACAGAATCGAGCTCTTGTCAACTTCGTTTCTGTATGCCCCTTCCCCGCTAACCAACAAACGATTTTCGTCTTTCGTTGCGTCGCGACGAAATCGCCGAATTTCGTTTTGGACTTTACCGTTTTTTGCATGGAATGCGTGCCTTCTTTCGTTTGGTTTTTTTGTCTATGCCTATTCCTTTTGTGTGTTAGTGTTAATGAGTGTAAATACAAGTTCAAAAATGCATATGTGTGATGATTTCTGTTTTCGTTTTACCCGCCGCGGCGCGTCACTTTTCTGCTATTGTTGAGCCGTGCGGACGTAAATTTAAAGGGAAGTATCTGGTATGTATACATCATCTTACATGTATTTTTAATGACAAAAAAATTAATATTGTTTAATTTACAGATGCTATAAAAACCGAAGGGTCCACTAAGAAGACCTATATAAGTACAATAAGAAACTGCTTTCGGGTCCAGAAAGGTCGACTGGCAAAGCAGAAGTTCGATAATAAGGACAAACTAGATAATAAGACATAGCTTTAGATTTAGATGTAGATAGATATAATAAAATAGTAATAATACATAGTTTAAGACTATACATTTATTTATAGATATTAAGAAATAATAAATAATAGATTTTAAAAATTAAAACAAAAAATACTGCATTACTCAAGCATTTCTATCTCTCAATTAGTAATCAATTATTTCTCCAATTACATTGCATTAAGAAGTAAGCCATTTTATATAGTGGGAAAATGGGTTGCAGGTATATTGTGTTGTAATGTACGCATATTACTAACCCATAAGCGATTTTGAAAATGTATAAGGCGTTTTCTTCAGGTTGCGGAATTTCTACATTGCAATATTTAAAAAGTATACGCATGGGTAATGGAGAGCCGAAGGAAACTTCGTCACCTCATTACTTTCTGCATTACAAAATTCAATAATTTCATGCACCCGGGAGAAAAAGCGGCCATTCCTTAAAAAAGTAAGGCAGCTTGTAATCGATCTTTTCATGCACACAGGCGACAAGTAATCCATGAGTAATGGACGAAATAATGGGCATTTCCGCCACTGGGAAATAGCAGCAGCGCACAGAAATTGGAAATTTTTCGCGACGATCCCCGCTCTTTCTCTTTGAGTGAAGGGTATACCGAACTCTTAAAAGCGTTTGCCACGCTCATACAAAATGTTTGTGTTCTCATGATTATTTCTAGGAAAGGTATGAAAGCGTTGAGGCGCATAAAGAATATGATTTCGCGACGGGCACGCACACACACACTTGCAGTCTCTGGAAACATGTGTGAGCATTTGCATATGTGTATGTATGCATGAGATGGGATGATAATTGTTTGGCGATTCTGTAGTTTGTCAATTTTGTACGGTTTGAATTGTAGAGTGACTGTCAAATGAGCCTTTATGACATAATCAATAAATTTGGCAATGAAGATCATTTCGACATGTGTATTTTATTCCCACTTGAAGTTTTTATAGTCTACTAGCCAATATATTGCAAAACATTTAATAAACTTATTAGTGTACCCCGATCATTTTTTTCGGCTGACATTTGAATAGAATATGTAATTATAATTATATACAATAATAGTTTTTATCAATACACGCATTTATAAACATGATTAGATATAAAAGTATATAAATGTACGTAAATATGTACATATACATCAACGTGAAGTGGATATGGCAGTCCGTAAGACCAACCAACCAGCGGCAAAATGATCTTTATTGCCAAAATTACTGATTAAGTCAAAAATTTGTTCTAGATGCCTAATCTATGTGTTATCTGGTAAGTGGTTCTCTTCAGCTGCTATGCCATGAATTAATAGAATTCTGCTGCATCCACAACCGATCAACTGGAAAACAACCAACCAACTAGAAGAATATGAACACGATTCGCATTAGAGGTGACAAACTATCGATGGCACTATCGTTACTATCGCTGGTCGGCCACTATCGAGCGACTGAACTATCGATGGGTTAATGTCTCGATAGTAGACGATAATATCGTCAAAGGTGCGTGACAAATAATTATAATTTTTCTTAATCTTATATCATAGCTTGCAAATGGTGGTTGATCGTTTTTTCGAATATGCTCTGCTTCATAACATAACCCAAAAGATTGTGCAGACACAATCTCTTTGTTTTGCTTTGAATCGGTTTAGGTCAAGCGCTTCGCATTGACTGATTAGTGTGACGATCTCATATGAGTGTCGCGTAAAGAGTAATACGATTTTCGCTTACACAAAGACTCAGTAAAAGACAGTTTGACTAAAAAACTCAACAAAAATGATCTTCGTGTGCATGCAAATACATACATACAGACAATAGAGGACAACATTATTTTGACAACGCATTGCAAAAACTCTAACCTCTTATTTCTTATTGCAATTCATTTAACTCAAGCAAACGATCAGTGCTTGACTTGAGCGAAATGAAAACAGAAATAACTGTCTCGCTCAGTTTCTGTCTGAATCTTTCTTATTGTGTGAGACAACAAATATCGATCACTACAATGAAAACCATAACTTAATAGTTTTTAGGATTTAGCTTTTAAGTCAATTCAGCTTTTATCTTAAAATGTAATTTCTGAAAATTGAAGTGCTCAAATTTTTAAAGCTAAGAATCACTGTTGTTTTTTTTGCGACTATCGACCACAATCGATGGGGCCCACCATCGATAGTTTGGCACCTCTAATTCGCATTCACAAAAAAAGGAAAAATTACCGGATAGAGGATGTTTGTTATTTTGTTATTATGTTATTTTTTCCGGACGAAGCCGTTTGTCCGTCTGTCAGTATGTTTGAACACGTCGATTTCAGAAGATATAAGAGCTAGAGACCTCAATTTTTGTTGTTGTTGAATGTCGAGTTTTGCTTAAAAAATCGATAATTTTCCCCGCTATTTTGTTATCGATTAAAAACATTAGGGGATCTCGTAGTCGAACAGTCTCGACTAGAGCTTTCTTACTAATTATACCATGAACCCATTTTCAATGTGAAATCAGGGTATAATGGTTTTGTTGAAATCTATGTAACAGGCAGAAGGAGGCGTGACAGACCCCACAAAGTATATATATTCTTGATCAGGGCGACGAGCTGAGTTGATTTGGCCCTGTCCGTCTGTCTGTCTGTCTGTCCGCCCGTCCGTCTGTCCGTCTGTCAGTATGTTTGAACGCGTCGATTTCAGAAGATACAAGAGCTAGAGACCTCAATTTTTTTGTAAAATGTCCGTGTATACCACGCAGATATAGAGTTTTGCTTTAAAAATCAATAACTACTCCCGATATTTTTATCGATAAAACCCTTATCGAAAATCAGTTATATAATTATATTTCCTACAACTAAAGCTAGAGTCTCCAAATTTTAAATGTAAATTTTTATGCAATTTATACAATTTCGGTTTTTGTTAAAATTTATCCCCCACCCCTATATCCACCCCATCATACACATATTTGTAAAAGGCGTGTTTCAAATAGAGACTTGTGCTTTGGCAAATGCATATCCATGTTGTAATCATAATCTGAAAATTTTATGAAGATCGTATGTCCACAAAAAAGTTATTAAACAATAAAGTTCTCATAGTAAGCGAACACTGCAGCCCATGCGTGTTTATGCGTGGGTGCTTGTGTGTGTGTATGTTTGTGTGTCTGTATGTGTGTTTCTATGTGTGTGTGTATGCGTGTGTGTGTGAGTGTGTGTGTTTGTGTGTGCGTATGTCTTGTGTAAGTAGAAAGACGCGAAAAATTATTGAAATAGCAATTGTTCGAAGGGTTCAGGGGATCTCATAGTCGAGCAGTCTCGATTAAAGCTTTCTTACATGTTTTGTGTTGGAGTGTAGTACAGCTGGATATCAAGAGATGCCAAATAATTAAAAACAATAGGGCACAGAAGTGCTCTTTCATTGTCTGTAGCCATCATTTTGGGGACCATGAAGTAATGAAGCACTTCAGACAACTTGTTGCGTAAATGTTTCGCAGACTTCGATTTTATGGGAAAAAGCTTTGCAAATTTCGAAAAATTATCGATACAATTCAAGAATTTTTCTCCTTGTAATGTGAAGATATCCACGTGTATTATTTTGCATGGATATGTTGGTACCGGTGTAGATTGTAGAAATGGTTTGTTTGCGCGTCTTTCATATTTTTTATAAATTTTATAAATTTGACAGGATGAGCTCCATTACTTGATTTGATAGCTCATTTCAATATATTGTAATAAATTTTATCAAAAATCTGTAACTCTACTTCTTTTGGAGCGGTGCTCTTTATTATGCTCAGCTTCAATTATTTTTAGTATTTCTTCCTGATTAGTAACAGTGTGTTTGGTAAATTATTTATAACATCCTCCCCTATGGCAATTAGATGTCGACTATACCCGATTTGCAGAGCCTTGTACTCGTAATTGTTTATATGTGGGTCGAATATGAATTGGTTTCGGAAAACAGTAATAGGCACTTCCACGTAAGGGACTAGATCTGAAGCATCTTGGAGGGCACCTGTACCGTTAGCATGGAAGCAGAATCATGGGTCAGTACATTAACTTGTGCTGGAATACTCGAAACAGCATCTGCAACTACATTTGATTGCCTGGGTTATAAAAAAGTTCACAATTATATCCTTCAATTCTCGACTTCCAACGTTTCAGCTTAGCACTATAAATTCTGTTCCCACAAACGAAAGTCAATGATGGTCTGTGTGTAACTTAATTTTGCTTCATACAAATAGGATCGTAGATTATCCAGTGCCGAAATAATTGCAAGCATTTGCTTTTCATTTGGCGCGTAGCCTTCCTTTCTTCTCCAATGTTCGAAGGAGCCCTCATCTCCTTAACAGCCTCCACTCTTTTATACCCTGAACTCATTTTCAATGGGAAATCAGGGTATAATGGTTTTGTTGAAATGTATGTAACAGGCAGAAGGAGGCGTGGCAGACCCCACAAGGTATATATATTCATGATCAGGGTGACGAGCTGAGTCCGTCTATCCGTCCGTCCGTCCGTCTGTCCGTTCGTCGGTCTGTCAGTATGTTTGAACGCGTCGATCTCAGAAGATATAAGAGCTAGAGACGTAGGTCGATAGGTTCTGTTATATTATCTATATATATAAAAGAGAGTTGTGTAAAAGTGTACAGAGACTTATAACTTGATATGTGCTGGACCAATTTTCATGGTTATTGATTTGTTGGATTTGTCTCCGCCACGAGTAGGATAGTAAATGTTTTTAGGAAACGGAATATCGCGAGTCAATTATCTGACGAAGAGCGAGAAATCGCCCGAGAAGAGCGCCGCGTTAGTACCCAGCAAAGAAGGGTCTTAATTCGTGCTTCTCAAAGAGAGGCAGCCCGTGAAACGGCAATAAGAAATGGTTCAAGGATTTGAATCGAGCAGCGTTTCGATATGATTGCACCATTGATTACAGCTTGAATCGTTTAGTTTGCATTGGTCCAATGGACGTTGTTTGCCAGCATTGTGGCGCACTGAAGTTTGCTGGTGAAACGCCCGGTTTGTGCTGCCTTAGTGGTAAAGTGGCATTACCATTAGTGGTCCCGCCACCAGAGCCATTGCGTCCCCGGCTTTATGGCGAAACACTAGAATCACGACATTTTCTAGCGAACACTCAAAAATACAATGCCTGTTTCCAAATGACTTCATTTGGGGCAGAAATTATTGGAGACGGATATAATCCGACATTTAAGGTAATTTACTACGTTCAGCAACAGCTATTGTTGTCTCTCTATTAGGGACAGTGCATCCTTTAATTGCACCACAATACTAAATCAATCGATTAACACGATATCAAGATATCTAATTGCAATTTCAACAGTGTAATATCGCACTGACACGACACGGCCATACTGACAGTTACACGTCCCTGTGTAATTCATTTCTCATAATATCATTCCGACATATAAGTTAAGACTTTCGACAATCTAAGGAGGCTGGAGAGTCCAGTCAGACATTCAAGGGGAGAACCTAACCAGTTGAACAGATTTAGTTGAGTTTATATTCGGACTAGAGAGAGTTTAGACCTATTGTTCCAAATTATATAAAACTAGCTGGCCCGGCAAACGTTGCATTGCCCTCTATATTATTTCTAGGTAAAAAATTTTTGAAAGCTATGTTGTTCAGGTTGGGATACACTCTGATTTATTTATTAATCGGATTTTCATTCAAGCGCCTTGTGGTAAACGACATTCTTCGTTTTTTGGTCGGGTGCAAGAACAAATAATGCGGATGGTTTGCCAACACGTGAGCATGCCACGTACAATTGACCATGAGAAAAACACGCATTTTCCAGATTGAGGCCACAAATAGTCAAAGATTGGCCCTGTGACTTGTTGATCGTCATGGCGAAGGCAAGACGAAGCGGGAATTGAATTCGTTTAAATTCAAAGGGCATATCTGTTGAGATCATCGGAATCCTAGGAATAAGAACGTCC